ATACTAAAAAAGATAAAAAAGGAAAAGCTAAAAGCTTAAATATCACCTTTAATCAACAAAAGGGAAGCAAAGTCAAAACACCAAAAATAGGAACATTTGTTAAAACATAATTGTCACAATTAGATCAAATCCTACAACAAGAAAAGGAACAAGAAAATTCAAGAATTAGAACTGGATTAAGACAGCTAAAACAACGATTAAACAGTATAGAAACAAATTATAAATATATTTTCCAATTATCAAAACAACAAACTAATGAACATATTCAAGAAATTGAAAGGGTCACAAATAGAAAAATATTAGAAGCAGAAACAGCTGAAGATAAAAAAGCTTACCTATATAAAATAATATCCACATTAAAATAAACAAAAGACACTATTCTCTGGAAGAATAGAGATCTAGTAAAAGAACTAGAAGAAGAATATAGGTATGCAACTAATCAAGCACTAAACTTGCAAGAGTATGAATAACGAATCTTAATAGAAAGATTTACTAGACAAATAGAACAATGTGAAAATGAATCATTACGAGAACAATATCAAGCAAAATATAGAGAACTACTAGGAGTATCTCTAGAAAACCTAGATAAAATGCATGATATAGAAGATGAAGAAGAACGAATGTTTCAAGAACAACAACAAGCCAGAAGACAAGGCTTAGAATTACCAGAAACATTACCACTGAAACATCCATATCACAAAGAATATAAACCAACAGTAAATAAACCACGAGAAACAGAACAAATAGCAGACCAATAGTTACTAGACAACAACTTTGAAAGAACATTAGAATGGTTAAATAAACAAGATAAAGATAGTATACCAAAATACTAGAACAAACAATATCAAGAACAACAACAAGACTAAGTTTACCAATATCACCAACCTTCCTTGATAAAGCAAAAGAAATGGTGAAGACACATTAAGTGCAGCACAACAAATGTTAAGTAGAAAAAATTCAATACAATCGACACAATCATCTCACCACTCTAAACAACATCAACATAAATCATCACCACTAATAAAAGACGTATGACTAACTGATATAATATCAGAATCAAGCAGTCTATACACCAACAAGTGATGATGACCAATCAGTATTACCAAAATATGGTCATAAAAGACAAAGGTCACAACTATCAAATCAATCATTCTCAGTAAGAAATCCACGATTAGAACAATTCAAAAGAGATAATCAACAAAGACAAGAACTATTCAGGCAATCAGAACAAGAACAACTAACACAAGAAGATGTACAACAAATGGCTGAACTAGATGATTATATTCAAGAAGACACTAATGATTATAATGATTATAGTCGAAATACCTGTAATCGACAAGGAGAACTATATGATCCAAATGATGAATATGAAGCAGAAGGATTATCACTATGATATGAACCAAAAGAAACTAAATGGACATGAACTATAGAAGCTGAATAGAAAGGACAAAAAGTCCTATACCCAGTACCAACAGAATAGTCAGCATTAACAGATGATGACTGGAGAGATATATACAAACATACAGACCCAGCACAGGCATGGACTGAAAATGCAAAGCAAGAAGCAGATCTAGAAGATCTAGCTGAACACAAAACAGAAATAGATAAAGAATCAGAACCAGAGCAAGGATATGGTATACCTGGAAATATATTTGATATAACAGATATAAATCTTAATTTTATAAAGAAATATCCTACTCATATTAGACATATTATATTACCAACTATACAAGAAGAAAAAAATGCTAAATACAAAATATTAGCAAATATAGAAACTGATATACCTCCTATGACTATAGGGCATATAAAGATCCAAAAACCAATTAAAAAAGATCTTTACATAAAAACCACGGCCAGAGAAGCCAAAGAAGCAGTAATTGTGCAGCCTGGAATAGCAAATAGAAAATACATAACAATAATAAATTTTTCTGATAAAAAATTTAAAATCAAAAAAGGACAACACATAGCAAATGGAGAGAAAGTCAAAATTGAAAATTTTGACGCAAAAAAATGGAAAAATTTTGAACCAAAAATTAATCAAAATTTTCTTCAAAAATTACCAACTTTCGACAAACCCGTCGAAAGTGAAAAGAAAAGAATTAAAATCTTTCAAGACCGCTATCTTGAAACTAGAGGCCCAGAAGTATGGAAGTTAATCGGACATATTTTAACAAAATATATCAATGTATTCTGAGAAAAAAAAAAATTCACTCATTTGTAAACCCAAATGTGATTGAACCTGTAGAATTTATATTTAAACCAGAAATAGATGAAAGGAAAATATCATTAAAAGATAAAATGCAAGGAGGAAGAAAATACTTCAAAGAAGACTTAGTTGTATACGAAAAATAAGAGATGACTTACTAAAAATGGAATAATATATAGTGGAAACACAGATTGGCAAAGTCCCTGTGTAGTAATAGAGAAGAAAGATAGAATAAAAAAGATTGCAATTGACTATAGAAAACTAAATAGTTTTCTCCTACCTCTTAGAAAACTACTTCCAGATACTAAACAAATATTACAAAGGGTAGCTAGATATAAATATTATATAACAATAGATATTTAATTAGCCTATTGGCAAATACTAGTAGCAAAACTATCAAGAAAATATACTGCAACACAATTCGCAGAATATGGCACATACTGTTGGAAAGGAGTACTGTTTGGAATCCAAACAGTACCAGAATACCTAATAAAAGCAATGAATAAAATATTAGGAGACTTAGAATACGTACTAATATATATGGATGACATGGTAATACTATTAAAAGATAAAGATGAAGCACAAGAAAAAATAACAAGAGTGTTAGAACGCTTAAAAAAGCGGCCCTAAAAATTAAACTATCAAAATGTGAATTTCTTGTGCAAGAGACAATCATACTTAATTGCAAAGTATCACATGGAAACATAGAAAAGAATGTGTTAAAAATAGATAATGTAGACAAATTTGTGATACCAAATACTAAACAAGAGTTACAATGCTTCTTGGAATTTATGAATTATTTTAAATATTATATAGTAGACTTTGCAAAAATAGCAATATACTCTATGAAAGAGTAGGCAAAAAAGACTTCGACTGGAATGAAGATTGCCAAGAAACAATGGAAAAACTTAAGATAGAATTAAAGTGAATACTATCATTATCATACCCAGATATGAATAAACCTTTCTTTATGCAAACAGATGCCTCCAACAAAGCTATCAGAGCAATATTATATCAAATAGGAGATGAATCACGGGACTATTGGAAGGTCAAAGATAAAATCAAATGAAAAGAGTTAATTGAGAACAAATATTAGCAGAAAAAGACTATACCAAACTACTATGAGAAAATATTAAAATAATTCATAAATTCCAAGAAGCATTGTAACTCTTGTTTAGTATTTGGTATCACAAATTTGTCTACATTATCTATTTTTAACACATTCTTTTCTATGTTTCCATGTGATACTTTGCAATTAAGTATGATTGTCTCTTGCACAAGAAATTCACATTTTGATAGTTTAATTTTTAGGGCCGCTTTTTTAAGCGTTCTAACACTCTTGTTATTTTTTCTTGTGCTTCATCTTTATCTTTTAATAGTATTACCATGTCATCCATATATATTAGTACGTATTCTAAGTCTCCTAATATTTTATTCATTGCTTTTATTAGGTATTCTGGTACTGTTTGGATTCCAAACAGTACTCCTTTCCAACAGTATGTGCCATATTCTGCGAATTGTGTTGCAGTATATTTTCTTGATAGTTTTGCTACTAGTATTTGCCAATAGGCTAATTAAATATCTATTGTTATATAATATTTATATCTAGCTACCCTTTGTAATATTTGTTTAGTATCTGGAAGTAGTTTTCTAAGAGGTAGGAGAAAACTATTTAGTTTTCTATAGTCAATTGCAATCTTTTTTATTCTATCTTTCTTCTCTATTACTACACAGGGACTTTGCCAATCTGTGTTTCCACTATATATTATTCCATTTTTAGTAAGTCATCTCTTATTTTTCGTATACAACTAAGTCTTCTTTGAAGTATTTTCTTCCTCCTTGCATTTTATCTTTTAATGATATTTTCCTTTCATCTATTTCTGGTTTAAATATAAATTCTACAGGTTCAATCACATTTGGGTTTACAAATGAGTGAATTTTTTTTTTTCTCAGAATACATTGATATATTTTGTTAAAATATGTCCGATTAACTTCCATACTTCTGGGCCTCTAGTTTCAAGATAGCGGTCTTGAAAGATTTTAATTCTTTTCTTTTCACTTTCGACGGGTTTGTCGAAAGTTGGTAATTTTTGAAGAAAATTTTGATTAATTTTTGGTTCAAAATTTTTCCATTTTTTTGCGTCAAAATTTTCAATTTTGACTTTCTCTCCATTTGCTATGTGTTGTCCTTTTTTGATTTTAAATTTTTTATCAGAAAAATTTATTATTGTTATGTATTTTCTATTTGCTATTCCAGGCTGCACAATTACTGCTTCTTTGGCTTCTCTGGCCGTGGTTTTTATGTAAAGATCTTTTTTAATTGGTTTTTGGATCTTTATATGCCCTATAGTCATAGGAGGTATATCAGTTTCTATATTTGCTAATATTTTGTATTTAGCATTTTTTTCTTCTTGTATAGTTGGTAATATAATATGTCTAATATGAGTAGGATATTTCTTTATAAAATTAAGATTTATATCTGTTATATCAAATATATTTCCAGGTATACCATATCCTTGCTCTGGTTCTGATTCTTTATCTATTTCTGTTTTGTGTTCAGCTAGATCTTCTAGATCTGCTTCTTGCTTTGCATTTTCAGTCCATGCCTGTGCTGGGTCTGTATGTTTGTATATATCTCTCCAGTCATCATCTGTTAATGCTGACTATTCTGTTGGTACTGGGTATAGGACTTTTTGTCCTTTCTATTCAGCTTCTATAGTTCATGTCCATTTAGTTTCTTTTGGTTCATATCATAGTGATAATCCTTCTGCTTCATATTCATCATTTGGATCATATAGTTCTCCTTGTCGATTACAGGTATTTCGACTATAATCATTATAATCATTAGTGTCTTCTTGAATATAATCATCTAGTTCAGCCATTTGTTGTACATCTTCTTGTGTTAGTTGTTCTTGTTCTGATTGCCTGAATAGTTCTTGTCTTTGTTGATTATCTCTTTTGAATTGTTCTAATCGTGGATTTCTTACTGAGAATGATTGATTTGATAGTTGTGACCTTTGTCTTTTATGACCATATTTTGGTAATACTGATTGGTCATCATCACTTGTTGGTGTATAGACTGCTTGATTCTGATATTATATCAGTTAGTCATACGTCTTTTATTAGTGGTGATGATTTATGTTGATGTTGTTTAGAGTGGTGAGATGATTGTGTCGATTGTATTGAATTTTTTCTACTTAACATTTGTTGTGCTGCACTTAATGTGTCTTCACCATTTCTTTTGCTTTATCAAGGAAGGTTGGTGATATTGGTAAACTTAGTCTTGTTGTTGTTCTTGATATTGTTTGTTCTAGTATTTTGGTATACTATCTTTATCTTGTTTATTTAACCATTCTAATGTTCTTTCAAAGTTGTTGTCTAGTAACTATTGGTCTGCTATTTGTTCTGTTTCTCGTGGTTTATTTACTGTTGGTTTATATTCTTTGTGATATGGATGTTTCAGTGGTAATGTTTCTGGTAATTCTAAGCCTTGTCTTCTGGCTTGTTGTTGTTCTTGAAACATTCGTTCTTCTTCATCTTCTATATCATGCA